ACCAGGGGTGGAGCTGGCTATGGGCCAGAGGAACATGCCTTGTAAGGTTTTATAAATAGATGATGCCGGAGGACTTAAGGTGCCTAAGCCCAAACATGGCCCTTTCAGACCCTAGAAGTCTCATTGGGCCTTTACTTAGTTTAAACCCAATATAATAAATATTTTAGTTTCTTAAGCCCACTAGTAATATAGTATCATAATATTATATTTATTATGTGATATTGTGATATAAAATAGTGTACCATAATTACTTTATTTGTTTTTAAAAAGCAAAGTTATTGAAAGTTTCAAAATTTTTATTGTTGGTAAAGTCAAAGCTACTAGAAGCCTCAAATAGTCAAATGTAAAACTTGGAAAGAGCAAAATAATGAAAAGCTTAATACCATGTTACTCTTCTTTTCTTTTATAGTTAATATTTGATCCTTTCAACTTATTTTTTATAGATAGACGCAAATTTATTTTTGTCTATTTTTGTAAATGAATATATCAAAGTTTGGTTAGTTACGTTTTTGCATGCATCTAATAAAGATGTTTTGTGTCATCACAAAAGGGGAAAAATACGAGTTGTGATTACAACACCCATGCAGGTCATGCCTTGTTATACAACAGAGGATCCTAGTCCGTGAAATACTTTACAAACACTTGTGAAAAATATAGTGGCCATGCCATGTTGTACAACAGAGGATCTTGGTCCGTAAAATACTTTACAAGCACTTGCGAAAATATACACCTCATTGGTCTACAAGCGCCCAATGCACCGCACTAAACTGGTATGTTCATGATGTGCATGCGCCGACACGTGATGAGCACGCACATCGTAGATTAGGAATACCTACTCCGCTCCATCTTACAAAATGTTCAATCTGAGGCCAAAGTTTATGGTTTTATTACCAAACAAGAAGCCTGTTTTTCATACCGTGTCATAAGCTTGTCCCTTCACTCTGTACTTTGTTGCCTGACCTTTTCCTATGAATGTTTTTAATAGAAGAAATCTGTCGACATCGTTAGTTGTGTGTTTCTTAGAATATACATACTGACATATGCAAAATCAACTTATCAATTGCATTGTTCAACTTTTTTCTCAGGTGTGACATATGATAAGTAATGTACTTTTAATTATAAATCTAAGCTTACGATACAATTTTTAAGAACGAGTCACCTTCATGTCCTTTTCGTTGAAAAGTATTGCAGTATATGAGAATTGCTGGAGAAGGTTGTTCTTCAACATGCTTGTCCTTGTCATGCTCTGCTTCCAAAGCAAGTTGCTTTGTGGAAACATAGTTGAATTCTACAATTTCTTCTTGTGTGGTGTGCTTTATAGTTGCTACTAATTTTCAAAGAACTTCCAATGGAAGCTCTTTCTAGCCAATGTTCTATAAAACGGCCTTTACCCATAATTGTCACAAACCAAGCAAGCAAAAGCAATAACAAACAACACTTGTACCACCTATTTCTCTTCTAGTCTTTTGTGTCCACCAAATAGTTATGAGCATGTTTTCTGTATCAAGCATGCCTTCAACAACAGCAGTTCTGTCGACGTACACCACTTTTGCTGCATCAGCAATGCTGGTTAGGTCGGTGTTAAATGAAGTCCAGAACATGACCAACCAGCTTATACCTCAACAACTCCGAGAGAAGCTCTTGTCTAAACTCGGAGGGCTAATGGGGAACCTTTCGTCTCAAATGACTCTCATCATTGATGAATATGATGGGCTCTCCCTCAATCAAGTCTTCGAGGCTTCACAAATCTACTTGCGCACAAGGATTAGTCCTTCAGTTCAGCGGCTCAAGGTATCCAAGGCACCACAAGAGGAAGAACTCTCGGTCACCATCAACAGAGGGGAAAAGATCGTTGATACATATGAAGGAATCCCATTTGTTTGGGAAATGATTTGTACCGAGTCTCAAAGGACAAGCTTCAACTATGAAAGCAGCTTTTCTATTGAAAAGGTTGAGCATCGATCATTCGAACTCAGTTTCGATAAGAAGCACAAAGTGAAGGTATTGCGCTCTTACTTGCCATATGTACTAGAGAGGTCAAAAGCCATAAGAGAAGAAACCAAGGTAGTGAAACTCTGCTCCCTTGGAAACTACTGTGGGGCAGGATCAGTTAATCTTGACCATCCATCCACATTTGACACATTGGCAATGGATCCAACACTGAAGAAGGAATTAATTGATGACTTGGACAGATTTGTGAGCAGAAGAAAGTTCTACAGGAGAGTTGGGAAGGCATGGAAACGCGGGTATTTGTTGTACGGACCCCCTGGCACAGGTAAGTCGAGTCTGGTTGCTGCCATGGCGAACTATCTGAAATTCGACATTTATGACTTGGAGCTCACAAGTCTTCAAAGCAATGCACAGCTTAAAAGCCTATTGCACTCTACTACGAATAGATCGATCCTTGTGATTGAGGATATTGATTGCAGTGTTGACTTGCAGAACCGACAAGATGGAGGTTACAACCAAAGTGAAAGTCAGGTATGACAATAGCTTGAGTCACCATTAGACTAAGAAGTAGTTTTTCTTTTTTCTTTTTCAAATCTTTTCCAGAAAATAATTCGTACAATATTATTCTTAAGGAGACTCAAACCCTCCACCTTCCGCTCAGGAATACAACTAGACAACATGCCTCGGTGACTAAGTAGTAATTGATGAAGAAAAACTTTAAAAGGAAACACCTCTGGTCCCTGAACTTGCTATATGCCCCTACTGTTCCAAAGCATAGCCCTGTCTCAAAGACGGCTGGCTTAGTTAATAGCAATTTTTAGGAGACCTTTCCACAAACCTAGCTAGGTCTTCTTGCTGGCTGATTCAATTTCCTAGCTAACCCTTTTTTTTTTTTTCCCGGAAGTTCAAGCAAACGCACACAAACTCACAATATTGCCTCTAGAGGGACTCGAACTCTCAACCTCCCTTTCCAAGCTACTAGCTATGTGGTAATCTCCAACTTTCTCACCTATTAATTGTCGTTTTTTTCCTCGCTGACAGTTGACACTATCCGGGCTGCTTAATTTTATTGATGGGCTATGGTCAAGCTGTGGCGACGAGAGGATTATTGTGTTTACTACCAATCACAAAGACAGGCTTGACCCTGCATTGCTTAGACCAGGTCGCATGGACATGCACATCAACATGTCCTACTGCACTTTTTGTGGGTTCAAGATTCTTGCTTCTAACTACCTTGGTATAACCAACCACTACATGTTTTCCGAAATTGAAAAGCTCGTGACTGAGGTGGAGGTCACCCCGGCACAGGTTGCAGAAGAACTCATGAAAAATGATGAAGCAGACATTGCACTAGGAGGATTAACAGAATTCCTTAAAAGGAAAAGGACAGAATGCGATCAACCAAATGCAGGAGAAAAAGGAACCCATGAAGAAGGAAAAGGAAGTGAAGAAAACAAGAAAAGTGGTGAGAAGAAAGTGAGGAACAACAAGAGAAAGGCTAAAAGAGAAAAAAGGAAATCCCCAAGGTTCTAGGGCTTTGATCATTGCATCCAATAATTCGACACTTCAATAAGTAATAAAAATACTTCCACCATGTCTATTGAACAATTTGTAATAGGAGACTCAGCATCTCTGATTGCCTATATATGGTTGATAGGATAATTAATAAAGGAATAATGATTTTCTCGAAATAAAAATTGAAGGTTGAGAGTTGAAGTCCCTATGAGAGTAAGTTTCAAATTCAACAACCACCACCAAGCCTTTTTTCCCAATTACTTAGGTTGGCTACATGAATCATATGTTTTAATTCCGCTCTAAGGGCATAGCCTCAGTCAAATAACATGCTATCATATCCCCTTTCTAAGCGACTCTACCCGAGTTAATTTCGCTTTTCCACTAATATTACCCTCCATGTGGATTATGTCAATCTTCAAATAGGGGTTCGAGTATGATGAACTCAAATGATCATTTAATTTCATTAGTACTGTTTGACATTCAAAAATAGATTGATTGTCCAAATTATAAAGAACAACTAATATGGCTCTCAAGAAGATTAGAAATACAACAAATCAACCAATTCAATCAACAAGCTTAAGCTTAATTGACCATTTAACGTACTCAGCAATATCCTACACTAGTAAAGATGAACATCAATTTGACAGCTTGAAGAGCTCTCACAACAAGTCCTCTTCATCTTCCACTCTCTCAAACCCAAACCCACAAGATTGATTGCCCACAATTTTCAAATGGGTCATCTCATAATCTCTTCATTTATTTTATTTTTTTTTTTCCAATCTGAACATGAAAAGGGCATATACTCAAATTGATCTATCATCCTCAAACAACCAGTTATATACATCCATGAGAATCCGATCATCATCCTCGACGACGAGCGACCCTCCTCGCTTCTCCGAGTGGATGAGATCGGCGATCAGTAGAGTAAATCACATGAATTTGTTGAGTGCTACATGAGAACAATTACTTGTATATGAATGTATATATGAACCCATCAGAAAGTTAGAGGCGTACCATTATATTGCACCAGCCGAGAGCCTGAGACTAATCGATTATTCACTCGTTGCTCCATTAGCAATTCTCTCTCTTCATCGAGCTCATCGGTTTTGCAGTCGGATGTGTGGCTTGTAATTGACATAGGGCATAATTCATGCCAGTCAAAGTTTTGTTCTGTTATGTCATTCTAGACTTACATGTAGACAACCGAACTGGAGTAAATCGGAGGGTGTAAAAAGGGTAAAATTAAGTTACATAAACTGAAAATGGAATCGTGAAAACAGGAATGCTTTCCTAGTGTGAAGGCGACACCGGCTAAGAAAAATTATGTAACTTAAATTCGAAATGTCCGTAAATTTTAATTTTAAATAATATAAATACAAAAATAACAAGGATGATTCCTACGGTTCATGCTCTCAAATGCAACAATGGTGGTGAAAATCCAAAGCATCTAGGTTTTGTTCACCGCGACCTTACCACTAACGAAGTAATCTTCTTTACCAAACTTGCAAAGAAATCAGAATAGAGAGGGAAAAATATTTGATAATAGAAAGTAATTATTTAGTATTATTGCAATGTGCTCCAATGCATTGAATACATTGTGAGAAATTCTCTGATTCCATCCATCACATTTAATGGGATGTTAAAAACCAACTGTAATATTTATCACAATAGCAATTGAGCTAGTAAAATTGTAATATTTCACACAACTCTTACATGAAAAAGTGAATAAAATAAAAAAAATCTTTTTCAAATTATATTGAAAAGAAAAAAAAAATGTACTACAATGATTACAATCAAGTCTTAAATTCGAGACCTCTTGTAAAAATATATTATTTTTTATTAGCCTCTACAGATTATTTCCTATTAAAAAAAGAGATGTTGGGCTTGAAAGGAGATCCCAAAATTGTTTGGACTTTTCACCCAAATTCATTCTTTCAAGTCCCTCCCACCTAGAGAGAGTGAGATAATGGAAGCCCATTCAACTTTGGAATGGCAAAAGGTACCCCAGTTCGGATTACATCTAGAACTGCTTGTTGGAAGCCAAGAGCCAACCACATGGATTCAGCAATTGACTTGGCACACTGACCAGCCAAATTAACCAAACCAAAATCAGCACCTGCCAATGCCAGAAGTTGAAGACACTCCTCACACTTATTTCTTGCACATATCATCAACGCAGTATCGCCAGAATTTGTTTTTGAGTTGAGATTACAACCAGCATTGATAAATTGTTGGAGAACCTCAGCAAACCCAAGCCGTGCAGCTAAATGAATAGGGCGGAACTCTGTTTTATCATCTGTTTCAACAGGGAACTCTACATTAGCACCACAATTCACAAGCACATTGACTGCTTTAGCGTTGTTACATAGGATGGCATGATGGATGATGGTCCTCCCAAAATGAGGGATGTTAGGGGAGAGGTGGCGTAAGAGCATGCACAAGATAGCACCACTGTCTTCAAAATACTCCACTACACACCAGGTGACACTATAAGGCTCAGCTAGCCCTGCACCCACCCTAAATTCTTCTCCAGTAGCTGTGTCCCATGACCAGGCTCCCAGTCTCACTTTTGCGTCTGTTCTAACACCAGCCTTCTTTACATTATCAAAAGGCAAATGTGATATTAGATTATAGTGTTGTGATTTAGATAAAAACAAAAAATGCTTGTTTAAACAACTTAACAACCAAGCAGAAATCTTTCCATCAGGCTCACATCATTGGTACATAAGTCATATGGAAGGCCCATAAAATTAGGTGTTTGTGAGATGCTAACAGCAGAATTATAAGAGCTGTACTCAAACTGGCGGCCTCACAGTTATCTGATCAAACCGGGCACTGTTCTGGCCCAGCATGTAATCAGTATTGTCCAAGTCTTTGGATTTGTTAAGCATCAGATATATATACACCTGTACATCTTGGGTAGTTTTGGTAATCTTGCACACGGTGTTTACCTGTAGCAGCAATCTGACAACAGAAATCTGCCTGCTAACGATGGCTGCAACGAGCGCATTACAGTCAACATTGGCATGCAGAGACGGCTTGGAAGACCTAAGCAGCACCCGCGCAGTTGCATTAGCATCGACTCCACACTGCCCCAAACAAAGCACAAATGCCATTTGAGATTTCAATTAACGATCTGAGAATTTCAATTAATGAAGTAACAGACAGAATTGGCATCCAATAGGGCAATCTTCATCAAGTCCATTTTGAACCCTTCATCAATTTTGGAGAACAGAGCTTATTAAAGGTAATGTCATATTCCCCCACATTGTACAGAAGTCAAGGTGCCTAGTTACAACATATATTTTTTCAAAATAGTAAATGGTATATTTATTTTCCACAATTGCAACCAAACAAATGGTGCCGATTGCTAGCCTCCAAATAGATGGAAGAGGAGCAGTGAAGTATTATGCCATCTTACTGAGAGGCCACATATCATTGGATCTTTCTAGGCAACAATAATTGGCACCGAAAATCAGAACTTACCACTGAAAATTTTGGTGTATGGTAGGTAGATTAACCTATATTACAATATGTTATGTATTTACCTGTAGCCGGGAAACACTCAGAATAAAATATCCTGCAGAGAAGTAAGTGCTGTTATGAAAATAATTAAATGAAGTTGGGCTTTGGAGACAGCTGAAGTTAGTGCAGAACTTTGCATTTTCAAAACCATAAATAGAGGTAATCAAATAATTGATACTCAAACTCCTAGCCTGATAGCAACTTAAGGGGAAATTAGTTTTGATATGCCTTTGTTTCATCATCACTGTCAGTCCGATTAGACTTAAATACATCACATCAAGGTTGCTCAGTTAAAGTAAGCCTTATCTCTACTATATTGAGTCACTTACACAAATCTTAGTTCACCATTTTCAGTCTTTGGCCTATGTTTTTCATAATTTTCATAGTGATTAAACTCAACTGTATTGGGTCTACAATCATTTTGCGTGCTCGTTTTATGACAGAAAGCCCACATGCAATGATGAAATAGAGATTTACACTAATAATATTAAGTACCTTGATGAGTGTCTCAACAACATCCACAAACCCTCTGCAGGATGCCGTGACAAGAGCATGCACAGCAACATGTGGGCGGATCATGTCGGAACCCATGAGCAGCTCAGCAGGCCTGGTCTGCCCCACATAGCTTGCTTCCAACAAAGCCTCCTCGCATGCTGTCTGAGATGCTCCACCATTCAAAAGCATCTCCAATATCTCAATATGGCCCTCCCTCACTGCCGCTGTCGTAGCATAGCCCCGGAACAGCTTCTGATTCACATTGGCTCCAACACTCTGTCATCATAAAATAGCCAAACAACCACTAATATGAACATGACATCAGGATTATACTGTTTCAGTGAACATTTATATATAACAAATTCTCTACCGCTTTCGGAGCCTGAAATTTTGTATGAGAATTTCCAGTTCATACACTGCTTGTCAAGTGAAGCAATCAATGCAGAGTGAGAACATTTACTATCAGTGAATAATATCTACTGATATCCATAATTTCTCAGGATATCTGTCAGGTTCTGAATTAATTCAGAGGGTCACAAGGATAGAGAGGGAGGCATTATGCACGTACAGACACAGCTCATCAGTCATTTTTGTGCCAGTTCCAAAGCATATTCAGGCACTCCAAAAGATATATACATAAATTGAGGAAAAATTAGAATTTTTATCAAAAAAATCCAGTGAAATAATTGAAGCCTAAAATTCAACAACATCAACAGTGTTCATTCTTGTAAGAAATTACACAATTCTATATAATCTTCACTCAAGAAAACAATAATAAATACAATGACTAACTATTATTATTATTATTATTACTACTACAGAAATGATATGCCATCCAAATTCGGACCAAACCCACACTCACTGTCACAAGGGGCCTATGGGTCCCACCAGAGCTGCTGGCCCCACAGGCCCCTTGTGACTACGGGCATGGTCCGAATTCGGAACGAGTTGTTGTTGTTATTATTAGCTGCAATGACTAATTAACTAATTTCAAATCGTGTAATTATTACTCACTAATGAGAAAACAGTCAAAAATCAATATGACCTTCGTGCAATAACCCCAAGGTTGATTTCAAATTTCAAATCTGTATTAAGCAAAAGTTCTCTGAAGACAATCAAACACATGACAACAACCAAAAAGTCTCTCTCTCAGTGTGTGTATGTGTGTGCGAAATGTTTTCTTATATAGTGACTCCAAATCTAAAATCATTTTCCTTTCTAGTGAATCACACCTGTGATATACGAATACAATAATCTAGAACTCACAGAAATTTCGAAAACTAGAAGATAGACCCTTGAAATTTCAAACACAATCACTGAGAAAAGCTATGAATTTCCTCTCATTATAAGTATTATTTATATAAAATTATTAACAATTCTCGAGACATTCCAATAACGGAAAAAAATGAAAAGAAAAAATCGAAGAAATAAAAAAATAATAAAAATAACTTTGTTTTCACAAAAATAAGCTGACCAGTAATTTTCTGACGAGTGTCAGATTTCCGGCATGAGCTGCGAGGAACAGAGCAGTGACCTCCGTCTTGAACTCTTCGAATTCGAAACGAACTTCGTTGGCCGACTCATCGTGCAAGACAACATCTGTCCTTTTCGTCTTCAAGCACACTGTTCCGATGAAGTTGACGTCGACGAAGGGGTCGGCGACGTACTCGAGGGCCGAGTTGAGGTCGTCGGCGTGGGAAGCGTCGACGAGCCGTTGCGAGACCTCGGCTGCGTAATCGACCGGAAACACTTGCTTTCCGGCGAGGAAGCCGGGAGACGAATTCCGGTATACCGTCATTTTCCGGTGAGTTTGGCCGGTGGGAATGGAGAGAGGTCTCACTGTAAGTATAAGTGGACTTGTGAGAGAAGCTTCAGACAGAGGAAGGCCAAGGCTTTTTAATGGAGGTGGGAGGTGGGTCTAACTACTTTGACTCGGTCGCGTTTAGTCCAAATGGTAAGAAATTACACTGCAATTTGGTTTTAAAACAAGAAAACATTGCATTGTGTGTGTGTGTGTGTGTGTGTGTGTGAGAGAGAGAGAGAGAGAGGAAGGGGGTAGTATTTATTTATTTATGATCAAACTATAATAACTATTACAGATATTTTTATTGCATTTATTTCGTTCTTAAAAATTAATTGGAGATTATTCTCAAAATTAATTGGGGATTATTTTTGTTTTTATCTCATACTAATAGCTACTGAAATTAGTTGTGGGCTATACTTTGAAATTGGAGATCGAAAAAATTAGTTTGAAATCTAAAGTAATATGATCTACTGTTTCAATTTTTAAAAGTGAATTACATGCTATTGAGTATTGACTGCACTAAAAATCAATTAAAAAAATGTTAGTGATCTAATTTAATTTTTAAAAAATAAATCTCTTTTAAAACGAATGTAAATTCATATTTTAAGTTAAAATTCCTTTTAGAAGAAATAAAGTGATAGTAATAATCTTTTTGCCTAAAAAACGAAGTATGGAGAAACGGAATGACCATAGAAGAATAGTATGATAAGAGAAAGAAAATCCCTTGAATCAAGGATTTAAGGAACTACATCTCATTTCTTTTATTTTTAGTTGGCATTTTGTTTATATAATATTTCCTTTCCTCATTTTTTTTTTTTTTTTTTTGTCCCAACCATTTCAATTTATATGCAATTTTAAATAAGTTGGGTTAAGCATAGTCGTTACTCGTTAGCAATCTAAGAGTTATTATATTTGTGCAGTAATCTCACAAATTCTATAATGAAAATTGTAGGATATTTTAAAATCTATTAAATTAAATGATAACTCATCTAATCGAGTAAATTTATTTTTATATAAGAGAATCAATTTATCATAATATTAGCTAGAGTTTGTGCACTCAACGACAACTTGAATTTCTTATAATATGATGCTATGTTTGGCAGCATCAAATCACCTGTTTTAAACTGGGAAAGAAGATTTAGTAGCGATTTTAAACCAAATTTCATCCAATTTCAAATTCAAGACACTAATTTAAGTTCCCAAACCTATAACATGAAAGTAATATTTAAAATGGAGTCAATCTTAATAATAAAAATTTGATTTGCATAAAAATTACTATATAGGTTAATTTAAAGCATTACCCATTTTAAATATACTATTAGAAATTAAGGAACAACCTTAATTAAATTACATTAACTAAAAAAAAATGTCATCACAACGGTCACTTTATATTAAAGGGACCTCAATTTTCAAATTTTTATGCTCAACATTTGAAATTGGATTCCTCTCTATACGGTGTTATGCAACGAAGAACAATTGTGATCCATTTACACGTGTAAATGATCACAATTATCTTCTTATGTATGACACAGTGTTATTACAGTAGATGATCAATATTATAACATCGGACATAAAGTGAATCATTGAATAACCTATGGTAAAAAAATTACCGATATCCGGTGGGTGACGAAGAACACATTAACTTATTAAAATTCAATGAATATGGTAAACTAAGTGGCTAACTCAGACGGCAAAGGATTGCTTTGGCCGGATTTGGCCTGCATATATTTTTGTTGTTCTCTTAAATTAATTTCTTGTTAAACAAACAACTTTTGTAGTGCTTTTATGCACACAATATAAAATTAATTCATGACAAATCCAAATTTAGAGAATACCAAATGAAGTAAAACAAAATCAAACTCAGATTCCATGTCAACCTATTCGAGATAAACAAAGTTGGATTAGTTTTTAAAAAAGAAAATGCTATTTGTTTCACTTTCTCTATCATCCAAATTCTTTGTTGTTAAATTTGTTCATCCGTCCATCTTTGGTGTACCTACAAGACAAGTAGGAAAATAAAATCTCTCTCTCTCTCTCTCAATGAATATATATATGTATATATACACACACACACACTCATTACAGCACAGATCTTCCTATTGCTTAATTGGAAGTCATCACTCATCTCCAATGTGGTAGGTTGTAAGTTGTAACAATGTGTCAATGCTTGTCCAAACATTTGTTGGTATTAGCCCAAAATTTAGATGAACTCAGTCATAAAACGAAGTAGATCTCAACTTTGTAGTTTTGATTGTTAAACCTTAATACGGGTATCTGACGAAAGTGAATTTCATAAGAATATGCGACGCACTGTCACGAATAATGTCACTGTGCAAGTTCAACTGTTAAATGAATCTATTATGCTGAACTTAAGAACACAACTCTTAGATGGAATGTCAGTGTCAATAAAAAATAGTCTAGAAAATTTCACTTGATCATGCTTCAAGGCATCAACACTGTATGGGTTGAAAGTCTCCCACGTTGCTTCACAGTTCACATTCTCCGCTTTATTTTTTATTTTTATTTTTATTATTATTATTTTTTTTTCGAAACATAGTGATATCGAGCCTCTTAAAATGTCTCATAATCCATTACTGGTCATATACAGTTGTCGTTTACCAGGGGTGGAGCTGGCTATGGGCCAGAGGAACATGCCTTGTAAGGTTTTATAAATAGATGATGCCGGAGGACTTAAGGTGCCTAAGCCCAAACATGGCCCTTTCAGACCCTAGAAGTCTCATTGGGCCTTTACTTAGTTTAAACCCAATATAATAAATATTTTAGTTTCTTAAGCCCACTAGTAATATAGTATCATAATATTATATTTATTATGTGATATTGTGATATAAAATAGTGTACCATAATTACTTTATTTGTTTTTAAAAAGCAAAGTTATTGAAAGTTTCAAAATTTTTATTGTTGGTAAAGTCAAAGCTACTAGAAGCCTCAAATAGTCAAATGTAAAACTTGGAAAGAGCAAAATAATGAAAAGCTTAATACCATGTTACTCTTCTTTTCTTTTATAGTTAATATTTGATCCTTTCAACTTATTTTTTATAGATAGACGCAAATTTATTTTTGTCTATTTTTGTAAATGAATATATCAAAGTTTGGTTAGTTACGTTTTTGCATGCATCTAATAAAGATGTTTTGTGTCATCACAAAAGGGGAAAAATACGAGTTGTGATTACAACACCCATGCAGGTCATGCCTTGTTATACAACAGAGGATCCTAGTCCGTGAAATACTTTACAAACACTTGTGAAAAATATAGTGGCCATGCCATGTTGTACAACAGAGGATCTTGGTCCGTAAAATACTTTACAAGCACTTGCGAAAATATACACCTCATTGGTCTACAAGCGCCCAATGCACCGCACTAAACTGGTATGTTCATGATGTGCATGCGCCGACACGTGATGAGCACGCACATCGTAGATTAGGAATACCTACTCCGCTCCATCTTACAAAATGTTCAATCTGAGGCCAAAGTTTATGGTTTTATTACCAAACAAGAAGCCTGTTTTTCATACCGTGTCATAAGCTTGTCCCTTCACTCTGTACTTTGTTGCCTGACCTTTTCCTATGAATGTTTTTAATAGAAGAAATCTGTCGACATCGTTAGTTGTGTGTTTCTTAGAATATACATACTGACATATGCAAAATCAACTTATCAATTGCATTGTTCAACTTTTTTCTCAGGTGTGACATATGATAAGTAATGTACTTTTAATTATAAATCTAAGCTTACGATACAATTTTTAAGAACGAGTCACCTTCATGTCCTTTTCGTTGAAAAGTATTGCAGTATATGAGAATTGCTGGAGAAGGTTGTTCTTCAACATGCTTGTCCTTGTCATGCTCTGCTTCCAAAGCAAGTTGCTTTGTGGAAACATAGTTGAATTCTACAATTTCTTCTTGTGTGGTGTGCTTTATAGTTGCTACTAATTTTCAAAGAACTTCCAATGGAAGCTCTTTCTAGCCAATGTTCTATAAAACGGCCTTTACCCATAATTGTCACAAACCAAGCAAGCAAAAGCAATAACAAACAACACTTGTACCACCTATTTCTCTTCTAGTCTTTTGTGTCCACCAAATAGTTATGAGCATGTTTTCTGTATCAAGCATGCCTTCAACAACAGCAGTTCTGTCGACGTACACCACTTTTGCTGCATCAGCAATGCTGGTTAGGTCGGTGTTAAATGAAGTCCAGAACATGACCAACCAGCTTATACCTCAACAACTCCGAGAGAAGCTCTTGTCTAAACTCGGAGGGCTAATGGGGAACCTTTCGTCTCAAATGACTCTCATCATTGATGAATATGATGGGCTCTCCCTCAATCAAGTCTTCGAGGCTTCACAAATCTACTTGCGCACAAGGATTAGTCCTTCAGTTCAGCGGCTCAAGGTATCCAAGGCACCACAAGAGGAAGAACTCTCGGTCACCATCAACAGAGGGGAAAAGATCGTTGATACATATGAAGGAATCCCATTTGTTTGGGAAATGATTTGTACCGAGTCTCAAAGGACAAGCTTCAACTATGAAAGCAGCTTTTCTATTGAAAAGGTTGAGCATCGATCATTCGAACTCAGTTTCGATAAGAAGCACAAAGTGAAGGTATTGCGCTCTTACTTGCCATATGTACTAGAGAGGTCAAAAGCCATAAGAGAAGAAACCAAGGTAGTGAAACTCTGCTCCCTTGGAAACTACTGTGGGGCAGGATCAGTTAATCTTGACCATCCATCCACATTTGACACATTGGCAATGGATCCAACACTGAAGAAGGAATTAATTGATGACTTGGACAGATTTGTGAGCAGAAGAAAGTTCTACAGGAGAGTTGGGAAGGCATGGAAACGCGGGTATTTGTTGTACGGACCCCCTGGCACAGGTAAGTCGAGTCTGGTTGCTGCCATGGCGAACTATCTGAAATTCGACATTTATGACTTGGAGCTCACAAGTCTTCAAAGCAATGCACAGCTTAAAAGCCTATTGCACTCTACTACGAATAGATCGATCCTTGTGATTGAGGATATTGATTGCAGTGTTGACTTGCAGAACCGACAAGATGGAGGTTACAACCAAAGTGAAAGTCAGGTATGACAATAGCTTGAGTCACCATTAGACTAAGAAGTAGTTTTTCTTTTTTCTTTTTCAAATCTTTTCCAGAAAATAATTCGTACAATATTATTCTTAAGGAGACTCAAACCCTCCACCTTCCGCTCAGGAATACAACTAGACAACATGCCTCGGTGACTAAGTAGTAATTGATGAAGAAAAACTTTAAAAGGAAACACCTCTGGTCCCTGAACTTGCTATATGCCCCTACTGTTCCAAAGCATAGCCCTGTCTCAAAGACGGCTGGCTTAGTTAATAGCAATTTTTAGGAGACCTTTCCACAAACCTAGCTAGGTCTTCTTGCTGGCTGATTCAATTTCCTAGCTAACCCTTTTTTTTTTTTTCCCGGAAGTTCAAGCAAACGCACACAAACTCACAATATTGCCTCTAGAGGGACTCGAACTCTCAACCTCCCTTTCCAAGCTACTAGCTATGTGGTAATCTCCAACTTTCTCACCTATTAATTGTCGTTTTTTTCCTCGCTGACAGTTGACACTATCCGGGCTGCTTAATTTTATTGATGGGCTATGGTCAAGCTGTGGCGACGAGAGGATTATTGTGTTTACTACCAATCACAAAGACAGGCTTGACCCTGCATTGCTTAGACCAGGTCGCATGGACATGCACATCAACATGTCCTACTGCACTTTTTGTGGGTTCAAGATTCTTGCTTCTAACTACCTTGGTATAACCAACCACTACATGTTTTCCGAAATTGAAAAGCTCGTGACTGAGGTGGAGGTCACCCCGGCACAGGTTGCAGAAGAACTCATGAAAAATGATGAAGCAGACATTGCACTAGGAGGATTAACAGAATTCCTTAAAAGGAAAAGGACAGAATGCGATCAACCAAATGCAGGAGAAAAAGGAACCCATGAAGAAGGAAAAGGAAGTGAAGAAAACAAGAAAAGTGGTGAGAAGAAAGTGAGGAACAACAAGAGAAAGGCTAAAAGAGAAAAAAGGAAATCCCCAAGGTTCTAGGGCTTTGATCATTGCATCCAATAATTCGACACTTCAATAAGTAATAAAAATACTTCCACCATGTCTATTGAACAATTTGTAATAGGAGACTCAGCATCTCTGATTGCCTATATATGGTTGATAGGATAATTAATAAAGGAATAATGATTTTCTCGAAATAAAAATTGAAGGTTGAGAGTTGAAGTCCCTATGAGAGTAAGTTTCAAATTCAACAACCACCACCAAGCCTTTTTTCCCAATTACTTAGGTTGGCTACATGAATCATATGTTTTAATTCCGCTCTAAGGGCATAGCCTCAGTCAAATAACATGCTATCATATCCCCTTTCTAAGCGACTCTACCCGAGTTAATTTCGCTTTTCCACTAATATTACCCTCCATGTGGATTATGTCAATCTTCAAATAGGGGTTCGAGTATGATGAACTCAAATGATCATTTAATTTCATTAGTACTGTTTGACATTCAAAAATAGATTGATTGTCCAAATTATAAAGAACAACTAATATGGCTCTCAAGAAGATTAGAAATACAACAAATCAACCAATTCAATCAACAAGCTTAAGCTTAATTGACCATTTAACGTACTCAGCAATATCCTACACTAGTAAAGATGAACATCAATTTGACAGCTTGAAGAGCTCTCACAACAAGTCCTCTTCATCTTCCACTCTCTCAAACCCAAACCCACAAGATTGATTGCCCACAATTTTCAAATGGGTCATCTCATAATCTCTTCATTTATTTTATTTTTTTTTTTCCAATCTGAACATGAAAAGGGCATATACTCAAATTGATCTATCATCCTCAAACAACCAGTTATATACATCCATGAGAATCCGATCATCATCCTCGACGACGAGCGACCCTCCTCGCTTCTCCGAGTGGATGAGATCGGCGATCAGTAGAGTAAATCACATGAATTTGTTGAGTGCTACATGAGAACAATTACTTGTATATGAATGTATATATGAACCCATCAGAAAGTTAGAGGCGTACCATTATATTGCACCAGCCGAGAGCCTGAGACTAATCGATTATTCACTCGTTGCTCCATTAGCAATTCTCTCTCTTCATCGAGCTCATCGGTTTTGCAGTCGGATGTGTGGCTTGTAATTGACATAGGGCATAATTCATGCCAGTCAAAGTTTTGTTCTGTTATGTCATTCTAGACTTACATGTAGACAACCGAACTGGAGTAAATCGGAGGGTGTAAAAAGGGTAAAATTAAGTTACATAAACTGAAAATGGAATCGTGAAAACAGGAATGCTTTCCTAGTGTGAAGGCGACACCGGCTAAGAAAAATTATGTAACTTAAATTCGAAATGTCCGTAAATTTTAATTTTAAATAATATAAATACAAAAATAACAAGGATGATTCCTACGGTTCATGCTCTCAAATGCAACAATGGTGGTGAAAATCCAAAGCATCTAGGTTTTGTTCACCGCGACCTTACCACTAACGAAGTAATCTTCTTTACCAAACTTGCAAAGAAATCAGAATAGAGAGGGAAAAATATTTGATAATAGAAAGTAATTATTTAGTATTATTGCAATGTGCTCCAATGCATTGAATACATTGTGAGAAATTCTCTGATTCCATCCATCACATTTAATGGGATGTTAAAAACCAACTGTAATATTTATCACAATAGCAATTGAGCTAGTAAAATTGTAATATTTCACACAACTCTTACATGAAAAAGTGAATAAAATAAAAAAAATCTTTTTCAAATTATATTGAAAAGAAAAAAAAAATGTACTACAATGATTACAATCAAGTCTTAAATTCGAGACCTCTTGTAAAAATATATTATTTTTTATTAGCCTCTACAGATTATTTCCTATTAAAAAAAGAGATGTTGGGCTTGAAAGGAGATTCCAAAATTGTTTGGACTTTTCACCCAAATTCATTCTTTCAAGTCCCTCCCACCTAGAGAGAGTGAGATAATGGAAGCCCATTCAACTTTGGAATGGCAAAAGGTACCCCAGTTCGGATTACATCTAGAACTGCTTGTTGGAAGCCAAGAGCCAACCACATGGATTCAGCAATTGACTTGGCACACTGACCAGCCAAATTAACCAAACCAAAATCAGCACCTGCCAATGCCAGAAGTTGAAGACACTCCTCACACTTATTTCTTGCACATATCATCAACGCAGTATCGCCAGAATTTGTTTTTGAGTTGAGATTACAACCAGCATTGATAAATTGTTGGAGAACCTCAGCAAACCCAAGCCGTGCAGCTAAATGAATAGGGCGGAACTCTGTTTTATCATCTGTTTCAACAGGGAACTCTACATTAGCACCACAATTCACAAGCACATTGACTGCTTTAGCGTTGTTACATAGGATGGCATGATGGATGATGGTCCTCCCAAAATGAGGGATGTTAGGGGAGAGGTGGCGTAAGAGCATGCACAAGATAGCACCACTGTCTTCAAAATACTCCACTACACACCAGGTGACACTATAAGGCTCAGCTAGCCCTGCACCCACCCTAAATTCTTCTCCAGTAGCTGTGTCCCATGACCAGGCTCCCAGTCTCACTTTTGCGTCTGTTCTAACACCAGCCTTCTTTACATTATCAAAAGGCAAATGTGATATTAGATTATAGTGTTGTGATTTAGATAAAAACAAAAAATGCTTGTTTAAACAACTTAACAACCAAGCAGAAATCTTTCCATCAGGCTCACATCATTGGTACATAAGTCATATGGAAGGCCCATAAAATTAGGTGTTTGTGAGATGCTAACAGCAGAATTATAAGAGCTGTACTCAAACTGGCGGCCTCACAGTTATCTGATCAAACCGGGCACTGTTCTGGCCCAGCATGTAATCAGTATTGTCCAAGTCTTTGGATTTGTTAAGCATCAGATATATATACACCTGTACATCTTGGGTAGTTTTGGTAATCTTGCACACGGTGTTTACCTGTAGCAGCAATCTGACAACAGAAATCTGCCTGCTAACGATGGCTGCAACGAGCGCATTACAGTCAACATTGGCATGCAGAGACGGCTTGGAAGACCTAAGCAGCACCCGCGCAGTTGCATTAGCATCGACTCCACACTGCCCCAAACAAAGCACAAATGCCATTTGAGATTTCAATTAACGATCTGAGAATTTCAATTAATGAAGTAACAGACAGAATTGGCATCCAATAGGGCAATCTTCATCAAGTCCATTTTGAACCCTTCATCAATTTTGGAGAACAGAGCTTATTAAAGGTAATGTCATATTCCCCCACATTGTACAGAAGTCAAGGTGCCTAGTTACAACATATATTTTTTCAAAATAGTAAATGGTATATTTATTTTTCACAATTGCAACCAAACAAATGGTGCCGATTGCTAGCCTCCAAATAGATGGAAGAGGAGCAGTGAAGTATTATGCCATCTTACTGAGAGGCCACATATCATTGGATCTTTCTAGGCAACAATAATTGGCACCGAAAATCAGAACTTACCACTGAAAATTTTGGTGTATGGTAGGTAGATTAACCTATATTACAATATGTTATGTATTTACCTGTAGCCGGGAAACACTCAGAATAAAATATCCTGCAGAGAAGTAAGTGCTGTTATGAAAATAATTAAATGAAGTTGGGCTTTGGAGACAGCTGAAGTTAGTGCAGAACTTTGCATTTTCAAAACCATAAATAGAGGTAATCAAATAATTGATACTCAAACTCCTAGCCTGATAGCAACTTAAGGGGAAATTAGTTTTGATATGCCTTTGTTTCATCATCACTGTCAGTCCGATTAGACTTAAATACATCACATCAAGGTTGCTCAGTTAAAGTAAGCCTTATCTCTACTATATTGAGTCACTTACACAAATCTTAGTTCACCATTTTCAGTCTTTGGCCTATGTTTTTCATAATTTTCATAGTGATTAAACTCAACTGTATTGGGTCTACAATCATTTTGCGTGCTCGTTTTATGACAGAAAGCCCACATGCAATGATGAAATAGAGATTTACACTAATAATATTAAGTACCTTGATGAGTGTCTCAACAACATCCACAAACCCTCTGCAGGATGCCGTGACAAGAGCATGCACAGCAACATGTGGGCGGATCATGTCGGAACCCATGAGCAGCTCAGCAGGCCTGGTCTGCCCCACATAGCTTGCTTCCAACAAAGCCTCCTCGCATGCTGTCTGAGATGCTCCACCATTCAAAAGCATCTCCAATATCTCAATATGGCCCTCCCTCACTGCCGCTGTCGTAGCATAGCCCCGGAACAGCTTCTGATTCACATTGGCTCCAACACTCTGTCATCATAAAATAGCCAAACAACCACTAATATGAACATGACATCAGGATTATACTGTTTCAGTGAACATTTATATATAACAAATTCTCTACCGCTTTCGGAGCCTGAAATTTTGTATGAGAATTTCCAGTTCATACACTGCTTGTCAAGTGAAGCAATCAATGCAGAGTGAGAACATTTACTATCAGTGAATAATATCTACTGATATCCATAATTTCTCAGGATATCTGTCAGGTTCTGAATTAATTCAGAGGGTCACGAGGATAGAGAGGGAGGCATTATGCATGTACAGACACAGCTCATCAGTCATTTTTGTGCCAGTTCCAAAGCATATTCAGGCACTCCAAAAGATATATACATAAATTGAGGAAAAATTAGAATTTTTATCAAAAAAATCCAGTGAAATAATTGAAGCCTAAAATTCAACAACATCAACAGTGTTCATTCTTGTAAGTAATTACACAATTCTATATAATCTTCACTCAAGAAAACAATAATAAATACAATGACTAACTACTATTATTATTATTATTATTACTACAGAAATGATATGCCATCCAAATTCGGACCAAACCCACACTCACTGTCACAAGGGGCCTATGGGTCCCACCAAAGCAGCTGGCCCCACAGGCCCCTTGTGAGTACGGGCATGGTCCGAATTCGGAACGAGTTGTTGTTGTTTTTATTAGCTGCAATGACTAATTAACTAATTTCAAATCGTGTAATTATTACTCACTAATGAGAAAACAGTCAAAAATCAATATGACCTTCGTGCAATAACCCCAAGGTTGATTTCAAATTTCAAATCTGTATTAAGCAAAAGTTCTCTGAAGACAATCAAACACATGACAACAACCAAAAAGTCTCTCTCTCAGTGTGTGTATGTGTGTGCGAAATGTTTTCTTATATAGTGACTCCAAATCTAAAATCATTTTCCTTTCTAGTGAATCACACCTGTGATATACGAATACAATAATCTAGAACTCACAGAAATTTCGAAAACTAGAAGATAGACCCTTGAAATTTCAAACACAATCACTGAGAAAAGCTATGAATTTCCTCTCATTATAAGTATTATTTATATAAAATTATTAACAATTCTCGAGACATTCCAATAACGGAAAAAAATGAAAAGAAAAAATCGAAGAAATTAAAAAATAATAAAAATAACTTTGTTTTCACAAAAATAAGCTGACCAGTAATTTTCTGACGAGTGTCAGATTTCCGGCATGAGCTGCGAGGAACAGAGCAGTGACCTCCGTCTTGAACTCTTCGAATTCGAAACGAACTTCGTTGGCCGACTCATCGTGCAAGACAACATCTGTCCTTTTCGTCTTCAAGCACACTGTTCCGATGAAGTTGACGTCGACGAAGGGGTCGGCGACGCACTCGAGGGCCGAGTTGAGGTCGTCGGCGTGGGAAGCGTCGACGAGCCGTTGCGAGACCTCGGCTGCGTAATCGACCGGAAACACTTGCTTTCCGGCGAGGAAGCCGGGAGACGAATTCCGGTATACCGTCATTTTCCGGTGAGTCTGGCCGGTGGAAATGGAGAGAGGTCTCACTGTAAGTGTGAGTGGACTTGTGAGAGAAGCTTCAGAGAGAGGAAGGCCAAGGCGTTTTAATGGAGGTGGGAGGTGGGAGGTGGGTCTAACGACTTTGACTCGGTCGCGTTTAGTCCAAATGGTAAGAAATTACACTGCAATTTGGTTTTAAAACAAGAAAACATTGCATTGTGTGTGTGTGTGTGTGTGTGTGAGAGAGAGAGAGAGAGAGAGAGGAAGGGGGTAGTATTTATTTATTTATGATCAAACTATAATAACTATTACAGATATTTTTATTGCATTTATTTCGTTCTTAAAAATTAATTGGAGATTATTCTCAAAATTAGTTGAGGATTATTTTTGTTTTTATCTCATACTAATAGCTACTGAAATTA